ATAAATCTACCTAAGGTACGCTTCCGCTATCTATGTTTGATTCTCGATTATTTGATATGAATGCTCCTGGGATAAAGCGATGATTTCGCATAAGGCTAATTCCAACACATGAGGCTGGAATCTAGGAATTGCTTTTATATGATCGTCCGTCATTTTTTAACGTACAAACTGATGTCGGTTTTAATGATACTTCGGTTTGCACTTTCATTTCGAAGAGAAAAAAAATGGGGGTTTCTCATCTCTTCTATTCTCCTACCTTTTTGCCTTTCGTTTTCTTTCGGATCTTATGTTTGAAAATCTAATCATGTATACTGGATATCGATCATGTTATGAGGTTATCGATTTGCCTATATATCATTTTGCATTCACCGTTTTAGCTTCTTCATGCATTACACAGAGAAACGGTTGCATCTATGTGGACCAAGATAATCATGGATTCATTAAAATGATGGGTAATAAATACTATATGCATACTTTCAGAAAGATCTTTTGCGGTTATACACATCAAGTAAATCATACCATATGAATAAAACTATTAGTGTTATTTAAGTAATCAGAGAATATTGTATGATTTACTTGTGTATAGAAGGTTGGCTCCATTTTGGAGCCAACGATTGGCTTCATAGCAAAATCGAAATCTGAGATTTGGATTTCATTAATGTGTGTGAATGTATGGATTTTTAGAGTAATGTAAGAAAGTGACATATGACGAGGAATTCAAAATAATCATCAAGGGCCTTGGATTGGAGCGAAGGCTATTAGAAGAGTGCATGGGCTTAGTCCGTGAATCTTGACGCCTGCGCGTGGGCTCTGTATCCTGTCTACATTCGGTTTCATTTCTTATAGTGGATTGCTATTTACCGCCCCCCTTTTACTAGTCACCGCCCCCCTCCAATTACGTTTTTGCCCTTTACTATCTCTCTCTACTCTCTCTCTACTTTTTTTCCTTACGTTTTTCTACGGCTCTTTTGACCGTCAAAAAAATTTTTAAAAAATACCAAAAAAATACTGTGACATCGGCAAGACATTAAAGATTAACCATGTATTTTTTTTATATTTTTTTACTTTATAAATAATTTTTAAAAGTTTTTTTTATTATTTTTTTTTCGCGTCCGGCCGGCCGGGCCGGACGCGACCATGTGCGTCCAACCGGCCGGACAGGACGACACCAGTCGTGCTATACTCGTTTTCTGTTCACGTTCATCTCTTAAGTTTAGAGACATTCGACCGTTATATTAGTGAACATCACCATGCATCTCCTCAAAATATAACGGTCGAATGTCTCTAAACTTAAGAGATGAACGTGAACAGAAAACGAGTATAGCACAACTATGTATACGATATATTAATGTATGATATCTTAAACGAAATAAGCCGCTTGTGAACTCGACTTGGCTCGTTACGGCTCTAACTAGGATCAACTCATTTGGCTCACGTTCAGCTCGGCTCTTTGATAAATAAGCTTGAGTTCGTCAAAAGTTCGTTCGGTTAATGAATCGGGTTGAGTTGGGCTCGACTCGGTTTGGTCAGCTCGGCAAGACTCATTAAGGCTCGAAGATAAAAGCTTTTTATATAATTTTGTTAAAAATCCGGATCGTTAAAGTTCCAGCTTGCTTTGTTAATATTGATAAACGAGGCGAGCTCAAGTCCGAGTACTGGCTCATTTTGTTAACGAGTCAAAACCAAAGGCATGAGCTCGAGCTCGACTCCACATGTTTACACCTCGATGCATGAACTTGAACGGAAGTAGAATTAGCATTGTGTAATATTATTTAATCTATAATGTTAAATATTTATCTTTTTATTTTTATTTTTATTTAGTATTCAACAATATTATAATTAATAGTTGGATTTTTTATTAATTAATTCCAAATTTTTACATCATATCAATTAAAATGATTATAATCGAGTAGACTCGTGTGTTGATAGTAGTCAGTACCCCAAGTATTTTATCATTTCAAAACTCTTTAAACTAGATAAATACTATGATTAAATATATATTTCAAAATATATATGACATTATTAGGATTGGTATAAAGCCTTTCCACAATTCTTAAAAAACCTACAGATACTCCAAAATCCTCATAAAATCTCTACATTAGTCCCAAGATTTCGATACTACGAAAGCTTGTGACACAAGAAAACTCCCCAAATGAAGCTTTCTATATAAATAACATAACAGAGTAAAACAGAGGAAAAGAACAGTCTCTCCTCATCGAAACCCCAAAACTCTTTTTATTCCCATCATCATCATCACCTCATCAGCCCACATGGCATCGTGCGCCCTTCCCCTCCGGCGAGCCCTCGCCCTCTCCGCCGCCTCCTCCTCCGTTCATCTCCTCCGCACTCTCCGCCGCCCCATCTCCCAATCGCTCGTCCGGCCCATCGCACAGCCCCTCATCTCCCGTGCCACCGGCACCTCGTTTTCTGTGCCACGAGGCGCCTCTTTCTCCACGGCGGCCCGCTCGAACGACACTTCCTCGAGTGATGACGAGGATGATGATGATGATGATGATGATGATGATGATGACGACGATGATTGCGACTCCGAGGTGGAGGATGGTGGTGCTGTCCACGTGGCGTTTCAGCAGCCCCAACGTTGGACGGTCTCTGTAGTCCCGGGTGTTGTGCAGTCGTTGGACGATAGAATCCTGTTCTACGAGAACACGGCCGCCAAAGTCTTCGGCAGGTTGATTTTTTTTTTTTTTTTCCCATTTGTTTATGTTGAATTAAACGATTGTCTTTGAGTATATGTAATGAATTGCTGGTGTGTGTGTGTTTCTAAAAATTTTTGGTGTTTGTTCAGTGTGGAAGAGGCGAGGAAGAATATACGTTCCTATGGCGTTTCGTATGATGGGTTCATGATTGAATGCACCGACGACTTGAAGGAGAAATTCATCGGTTAGCATTATTCGAGGATGTTTTTTCGTTTTTTTTTTTTTTCTCTTTTTTGTTGCTTGTGGTTATTCATGAGGGGTTTTGTTGCTCTCTGTATGCAGGTATCCCTGGTGTTAGGTCTGTCATTCTTTCAAGTACTGAACCCCAAGGTTAGACATATGACTTGAAAACTATTCAATGTAATTTATATGCTTTACTAAGTTTTATTGTTTTGACCTATCTACAGCAGAGAAGGTTAAAACTGGACAACAGGCACCTCCGGCCCCACCGACAAGCACCCAAAAGGCACCTCCAGCCCAGCCTACCCAAAAGGCACCTCCAGCCCAGCCTACCCAAAAGGCACCTCCGGCCCAGCCCGCCCAAAAGGCACCTCCGGCCCAGCCCGCCCAACAGGCACCTCCGGCTCAGCCCAATTATGGTCACGATTACATGGTATTCTTGGATGATTAAGATTAGACAATTAATCAATTGAAGAATGTTATTATTTGTTGTGATTGTTGGGCCTTTGTCACTTGCAGAAAAATGCGGCAGCTGTGTCGGAAGCATCGAAAAGTATGCAGGCTCAGTTGAGTCAGGCTCAGGCGGTCCTGAAGAAGGCGCACGAGAAGCTGGTTTGGGTGGAGATGGAGAAAGAGAAGGTGGAGATGGAGAAAGAGAAGGCTGTGAATGAGCTCAAGGAAGGCCAAAGATTGCTTGAGCAGACTATCAACAATCTCAGGGGAGGATTTTGGTCTACTCAAAAATGAGTAAATAAAAGTGCAAATTTATAGTTTTTTTTATATTATGATTTTAATTAGAATTGAAGCTATCAATTAGGATATTTATTTTTAGGGATTTTTATGAATTAATGCTTTTGAGTATTGAATAAAATTTGAGTGGCGTCTCTTTCTTTGGTGAACATTTTGTCACCAAACTATTTATTGACATATTTGGGATTTATTTTAATTTTTTTTATTTTATTTTTTTTGTTGTTCATATGGGAAAATTCTTGATCCTATATACATATAATAAATTAGAATCCCAACTAAAATTTCATATATAATAAAGATCAATGTATCTTGAAATAAAAAATCACATAGCTGTTCAAAGAAATGAAAGAAGGAAGGAAAGAAAACAACTAGAAGAACTTAAACTTCACCATTAGAACTCGATTCTTTGCTTCTAGAAAACCTCCTCATCCACTTCTTCTGTGATGAGGTAAGGCACGAAGAAGATGCCATTTCACGAGTTTGAATAATACCTTTCGATCCTTCTGTCGAAGGAAGTTCGGCAGGCAGTGCAGCAGCCGCGCTCGTAAATGCATTCAAAACAAGAAATGCTAAAATTGGTGACAAATCCAGCCCTCCTAGCGGTGGAATAAGTCCCCGGAATATGTTCAAGTATGGATCACATAAAGTGCTGAACAGTAGTAAAATGTGTATCAGAACATAATCTTCAGTTAAACAAAATGTATATTAAAAAAAAAAAAAAATCATAGAAAGAGGTTTGATTTGTACCTAAGAGGGCTGACAATTGCTGGAGGGGCATTAGGGAACCAAGTTAAAACGAGCCTGACAACCAACACAGTGTTGTAGATGTTTAAGAAATTCGAGATCCCGTTTGTCACAACGACTCCAGCCACTGAATTACCAGGTAAAATGGCGGCAAAATTTGAATTGGAAGGGATGGACATATTCCTCCACCTCTTCATTCTTGGAAGCTGGCAAGAGGAAGGTTCAAAGGCACACACTTCAATCAGTATAACCGTAACAAATATACGTTAAGAGGAAAATCAGAAATTCAAGACACAAATCGACACAAGACTGATCTCATATTCATCCGAGCTCCATTTTTTTCCCCTTTGTTTCTTCTTCTGCGTGTGCGCTCGCTAGTGTGTGTGTGTGTGTGTTTTCAGAGATGGTAGATTCTTCCCAATAATCTAATTCTAGCACAGAACACAGACACCATTATAATTTTCATTGAGCTTCAGTTCTCTTTATCTTCGACATTTTATCATCGGTTATCACTCACAGACTTCAACGAAAACAAAGAAAGCAAGCAAATTGTTGCATATACATCCATGACCCAAATTACCAACAAAAAAAAAAAAACCATTAATTCCAAAATGGATGAATCTAATTTGTTCTTACAATTAGAGTCTATCTTCAAGAATTCTTCTATTATCCCACACATCATTCTATCTGAAAATCACAGGACAACTAAAAAGCTCAAAATCACACTATTCAGCAATTATTATCAGTTTCTATAAACAAAATGAAAGTAACGCTCGACACGGAATAGGCAACTGAAGCTTTTTTTTCATACCTGACAGCCATTTCGAACATGAGCGAAGAAAGACAAAACTTTGTCAACAACTCCATTTTGGGCCCGTAAAATATCCATCATCCTGAGGCATTTCTCAACATTAGAGACTATGGAATTTTGAACAACCTTCGAAGGGTTCGAGGTTAATGTCTGCCTGGAAGACGGAGAGCCGCGAACAAGATTCCGAGGAGGTGAGGACAGTGGGAATACGAGAAATTGTGGCGGGGCGGGTTTTCCGGCGCAATTGTTCAGCTTGTCTACTGCCTCCGGTGAGTGGTTTGAGGAAAGGCAAGTATCCATTTTTGTTCAGAGTTGCACAAGATAACGAGAAGAAGATATTTTGGTATTTGCTCACTTCTATTATGATGGTAAAATTTGTAGATTGGGCCGGTCCGGGTCGGTCCGGGCCGGGTCGGGGCTGAATTTAATTAAATATTCAAACTAAACCTTAAAATTTGAAATTTTTTCAAAAAAAAAAAAAAAAGCTTGCTTTGTGAATTTTTCTACATATAATAGAACTAGAAGTTTGGATTTAAAAACTCACTAGTACAACATCCGTCTATTACAAATATTTGCATCAAAGTTTTTAAAAGATAAATATAAAAAAATTATTATGATTTTTTAAAAACTTTTAAAATTATATTGTTAGTTTAAAGATGACGCTAGAGTTTCGGCGGTTAACCGGGTGTTGTCGGGCTCACTGGTGATGTTAGCGGGTTCGGTCGAGTGGCGGTTCTTTGACAGTTAAGTGTTGTGGTTGCAGTTAGAGTCCGGCTTTGGGTGATGTTTCGGGGCTCGGATTTCGACTTTGCTAGGCCACCGAGTTGGTGTTGGGCAGTTTCGAAGTTGGTCCTCTTTGGCTGTGGAATTCACTTTAGGTCGACTTGGTTCCGTTGGATCTACTTGGTCTTGCTGCTTGGGAAGGGATTGAATTGTTTTGTTTAGTTTCGTGTTAAGTTTGTTATATTTTGTTTACTTTTTGTCTATTTGGTAGTCTGTGTTCTTGGTCTGGGCTCTCGGCCTCTGTTTTCACCCGAGTGAGTGCTTTATTATCCTATTGTAATCGTTTCTCACTCGGGCATTATCCTGTTGGGATCTTTTAGTTAGTGGTAGTTTTTATTCTGTACTTCTTGATATCTTTCTTAGTAATCACAATGACGAGGCTATAAAGCTACTACTCCAGCCGTGGTGACAGCCTAACACATTTAAGTGAGCACACCTCGGATGTCACGCAAAAATAACCGACGTCGATCTCCGACTATAAGATGAAAGGACGATTAAAATTCTAGATCAACCGAGGTCATCTTTACAACAGATGTCATACCAACTGAGGTCCAAGAAAGTTGACTTTCAATATATTATAAGGCGGCGACTACTCACATAGTCATCATTACTGGTCTCCAGCTCGCAGACAACCGCCTCCAAAAAGTTACTTTGCATTTAATGTAGTCACACTTACCTCGTACGATGAGTCTACCGCACTATATATATCAGAATTAGTTAATAAAAAAGGGATTTTTTTTTTTTTGAAGAACATGCATGAAATAGCCATGAAAGTATACCTTGGATTGTACATACAATCGACGTCTTGTATCTTCAAACTTCAAGCAATAACACTATAATTTCATATTTGCTTTGCATCATCATTTAATTATCGTTGTTAATTTCTCATACAACAACAATTTGGCGTTAGAGGAAGGGCCCGTAATCTGTTCGGGTTAATCTTCGCCAGAAAACAACTGCATCTGTGCCGAAAGACGATCACTCCAAGTTAAGCAAGCTTATTCATATCACTACTCTAATTGTTTTGCTTCCTTGATTCTGTTTACAACGAAAAAAAAAAAAAACTATGTTCATGTACTGTATCTC